CCCCAAAACCCCAAAACCCCAAAACCCCAAAACCCCAAAACCCCTTGTTCTGGATTGTCGTTGAATTAATAAAATCCTTAATAAAAACATGGCCCAAACCCAGTGAACTCTACCTAGAACTGAGCAGGAAGCAGAAGTATTCAAAGTCGAGCAGCAGGTTTTAAGAGACGTGCACACTAGGATGATCAAGGAGGTTATAGTGTATAAGTCTAAAGCTGAAGTGGATGAGCATAAGAGCTATATTGGTAAGAGTAGTGCAATTTTAGAGGGCTTAATGGGGTCAGAAGGTTTACAGTGGGATATATGAGAGTATAGGAATGTGACAATATCCGACGAATGTGCTTTTTCCAAAGAATTTTGGTTTATTTCTGAGCATTAGCGAGTGTTCATTGAAGATTAGGAGAAGTAAGGAGTTGTTAGATATTGCAAAGAGAGGAGGCCTGGCTGATCTTTCGATTACTTGGAGTGATACAGAAATTGAAGGAGGGAGTTATAAGTTTTTAAGAACTGTAATTCCAGTTATTCCAAAAATCACAAAATCATTATGGATAAGCCGTAAGCCAAGCTTCCCCTAATCCTCCCATTATAGACTTCTACCTCACAGAACAAAAAACTACAAAAATCCTGATCAGCTGCAGACAATTGCCCGAAATTACACTCTGGAAATGAATGATAGACCCTATATCAAAGTCCTATAATCTAAACCTCAGGAGCTCCTTAGCCAAGATATGTTTCATTCACTGCTCAAGCCCAGAGAGAAGGCAGACTGCCAATTATTTGATGTTGAAGAGTATTATACGGTTTCTGTCAGAAGTGTCACTTAGAGAAGGACTGAAGGAGATCGTGACTGATACTGAATTTGATAAGGATGAAATGGACGAGTTGGATAAAGAGTTTAGGAAAGGAGGAAAGAAAGGATGTATTAAGTATGAGTTTTAAGAGGTTTATGGAGGTGAGAGAGGTGGGGGGTTTAGAGGGGGAATTTTGGGTTTTGAGGGATTTTTGTCCATTTTTGGATTGGTGATGATATTTTTTCAATATCTATGAGTTTAAATGGGGTTTTGGGGTTTTGGGGTTTTGGGG